CACAGTCTGTGTCTTGGGGAGGTTAATGGACACTGTGGACAGCAGTGTGACCCCTGAAATGAGGAAATAAACATTAAATTACTCAACATCATCTTTTTGTAGTTCCCCTTCCAACCCCCAGCTACTTCCTTTTCCTTTTCTTTTCCCACAATCCAGTTTCATCCCAAACCACCCACACACCCGTTTGCTCTTTGCACGCTCACGTGTGCAATTTATTTAGGATCAGGTTGGAAGACTGATGGATCAGATTCTTCTTGGTTTATCTGTGCACAAGCAGAAAATGCCATCAGATGATGAATAGTGGCTGTAGGACTATTTTAGGCTCTGGATGGTGGGCATCGGTGCCTGTGGAAGTCTTTTAGGCTTTGCGTGGTCGCTGTTGGTGTCTGCAGAGTATTTTAGACTCTGGATGGTGTCTCTAGAGGTGTTTTAGGCTCCTGATGGTGACTGTCAGTGGCTGTAAGGGTTCTTTAAGCTCTGAATGATGGCTCTCAGAGCATTTCTGATTAGGAAAATCCACAGCTGATGTTTGCCTCACCCACAGCTCCGGCATCATGTGTAGATGTGGTAATGGCAGGACTGAATTTGGAGGGGGCAGGAGCAGATGCGGTGTCTGTGTTGCTGCCTCTACCCAAACTTTGGTGCACGTGAAGGTGGGGACATGGACTGAGGAGCAAACACATGGCTGTGGCTGTGAGTGAGTTACCCTCTGGCTCAAATCACCGGCTCCGAGGGAGCACGATGGCTGGAGGTGCTTCCTGGGCTGTGTGTTCCTCTAGCACACCCTTGAACACTGTAGACCTCTTAATCATCCCTATAAAATGATTTCCTGTATATTTGGTGAAATAATCTAACCAAAGGAAATAACTTGTTCTTTGATGAATTATCTTAAATATCAAGTTCATAATTGAGCATAGTGCAAGTGTTAAAGTAGTCATGAGTTGCAACTGCTGTTGTGCTCTTATAAAATTTATCCTTCTGGATTACTTAGAGATGTATCTTGGAATTTTTCAATAATAGCTCATAAAGGCCTTGTTTAAGCCTCCAAACAGCAGTGATCCTACAGGAAAGAAAAAGCAGTAGCTTCTGCTGATGAAACGATGCAGTCTGGTTTTGTTCAGGATATTTGACCATCTACAGTGTGAATTTAGGAAAGTAAATTCAAGTCATCAAGGTCTGCAGGTTTTGCACTAGGTTAATATATATTTTTTCTATATACTTCACTTCTGAAACTGCTTAGTAAAGATATTTTGGCTCTTTGGCACTCAAATGGGAATAATTAGTGAGAGGGTGATATTAAAGCATTGCAGCGCTGCAGGGCAGGGATCTGTCTCCAAGTTAGTCACTAGCCCGAGTTCTGAGTTTTATAACCCAGCCTGTTCCCACACGTGTCTGTGGGACATGGGCTCTTCACCTCTGAGTGATGTTCTTTCCCTCAGATTTCCCACCCTTTGTCCATGACTAATACTGAAAAGTGAAAGAAGCTTTTTATTTCACTGCAAGCTTTCTGGGTTTAGGTCTGTTTTCTCCAGAGTGTGTTAACAACAAGAAAACAGCATGTGGGTATAAAAATACACTTATTTAATGGTGTTTTATTGTCTGGCTCAATGCTGGGTGATGTGTGTGTCTGCAGAGCTCCTGCCTGGCCTTTTCCTGTGCTTGGCAGCCCTCCCACGTTGGGTGTTTGTTGGGTGCTGTCAGCCTGTGAGGTGTCACTGCGCCATCCCTTCGCATTTACCTGGCACAGGCGTTGGGAGCCCCACGTCCCAGTGCTGTGTCCCGTGGGAGGCAGCCCACAGCCAACATGAGCACGGGAACTGTGTGCAGACATGCAAGAGAGAGGATGTTGGGTGGGAAAAAATCAAATCCAGCCCTTGGCACTTGTTTGGAAGAGGACTCAGAAGAGCTGGGACCATGTGTTCCCAGCTAGGTGCCCATCTCTCCTGGGACAGAGGTGCCACAGGCCCAGGCTCGGTGCTGTGTGTGTAGTGTAGGGAATAGCAAGAACCTCTTTAAAATTCCACACCCTTTCACAGGGGGAGGTTGGTTCATCAACTGACTGTCTTATATGTGAGGCTTAATCTTCAGAGGCATCCTTGTGCTTTAAGCCTGTGCTTTAAGCATGTTATCAGAGCTGTTTTGGAAAGAATAGAATATTAACATCCCAAGATCCAAGCTGGGCAGGAGCCCAAGGGTTTGTCGAGGGGGCAGATGTGACCTTTGGGGCACTGGACGAGCCTTCCTCTTGGACTTCTTGGACCTCTTACACAGCAGCCCCTTCCTCAGACTTGGAAACTTTCTCTTACCCTGAAAAATCTCTCTCCAAAAGATTTGAGGCAGTCTAGGAAAAGTATTTCTTTTTAAAAGTAATGCTTTTCTTGAAAAACAAAAGGATATTAAAGGATATTAGCCATTGCAAAAAGATTTGGGGCTTAGTTAAAACCCTGATGATGTAGAGTGGTGTTAGTGGATTAACACAGACAATGGATTAAAGGTTTGTCCTCAATAAGATGGATGCAGGATCACAGTGTCTCCTTGTTTTATGGTTGCAGTTGACCTCTGCATGAAACTTCTTGTTGTGTGCACACTTTGCAATTAATGGCATAAGCATGTTGTTTCCTTACCTGCCCTTTTCCCTTGTTGTAGGAGCAGTCTCTGGTGATTAACAATCTCTATTGTTTCGTGGATCCAAACTGGAACAGCGAATGCGCAGGCAGATGATCTCCCTATATCTGATGTGCTGTGCACCATGACTCGAGCAGGATGCTTTAGGTTGGAAGGGACCTTAAAGCTCATCTCATTCCACCCCCTGCCATGTGCAAGGGCATCTCCCACTAGACCAGGTGGCTCCAAGCTCCATCCTTCGCTGTATATAGTGTTAGCTGTGTGTCTGGGGTGAGCCAGGGCATGAAGCCTGGGTGTGATCCAAGCATGTGTCTGCAAGCCTTTGAGTAAGAGTCACCTCAGGCTGTGTCCCTGGTCCCTTCAACAAGCCCTCCAACAGAGGTTGGAGAGAAAAACCTCCTTAGGGAAGGCTGACACCATGGCTGGGGCTGCTGGGCAGCACTACTGGCAGGGGAACCCACGGGTGATTTCCTTCCCTCTTTTCACTTATTTTCTTGATATAAACACTGTTCCTAGAGGAAAACTCACTTGCTGACTGCAGCTGGTTTTGCTGCTGAATCATCCCCTGCTTGCCAGATGTGGCCTGATGGATTTTCTCCTGCAAACAATCATCTCTACTTGGTCTTGCGTTGCATAGCCCTGTGCCCTGGGAGGGAGGGAGGGTGAAGGTGTTATTTGGGAACTATTCCAGGAATTAGTGTTGAAGGGTTAGTGTCTGCCCAAACCCCTGGTTTTGAGCTGTTCCACTAGATTTGTGCTTCCCTGAGCATGTCCTGGATGACAGATCTGATCCAAGGTGTCCTACTGCCCTCTGGCTGGTGCCCAGACAGGCAGGAGAGCACAGGAATAGCCTGTGTTTCAGTGACCTGCAGGGAAGGAAGCTGTTTATGTGCCCTAATGGTGACGTGCTGTGTGACACACAGCCTTTTTGGGGTGTTTTTGGTTTGGATGGGGGGGTGTTGGGCTGGTTTTGGGGCACTGAGGGTGGGCACCATGGTGACCTCTGCTGTGGTGAACAGCACGTGCCTGGCGGCCTCTGTCACTGAACCTTTGAGGACATCACACCTCCCCAGCCTCATCCTTCTGCTGGAGTTCCTGGAGACCCCGCTGGAAGCACAGACCCTCCCTCCTTCAGTGTTAATATCAGGGATTGGGATCCCATGGAGGGAAAGCCGAGCCTGCAGCCCGGCGCCTCTCCCGTCCCCGCTCCCGTGCGGCTGTTGCTGCCCGTGTGTTGCTATCAACACGGCCTTTGGAAACGTTCCTTCCCCCCCCCGGCTATTTTGAGAGGAAGCATGTGATGCAGGCAGCTCCCTGTGCCGGCTCCCTATGGAAGGGGGCTTCCAGCCCTGTTCCCAGCAGAGGAAGGGTGTGAGCGATGCAGCTCCAACAGCCTGCACTGGCTTTTTGTCCTGCCCTGTGGATGGTGCAGGAGTCAGCTCCAGCTGGGACACTGCTGGAGCTCTAGGGGGGGTATGTGTGTGTTCCTGTAGGGACTCTGAGTACTGAAGGATGATTTTAAACCATTTTACTCTGTTGAGCTGGAGAAATACAACCTGTCTAAAGGCTGATCTTCTTACAGCTGTTATAGGCATTATGCTGGACTTTTAAACCACCCTCACACCATGATTAAAACCTTCTGCCTGTGTTTTTTCCCTTTTAATTGTATCCACTGAAACATCACTTTCATCTCAAGTAGCCAAGCTGTGGTGGTGATGGGGATGGGAGGAGGAGCTCTGACATTGGAAGGCTGGAGAGGCTTGGGATGGAGTCTGGCGGTGGCTCTGCTGCGGGCAGTGCTGGATGCATTGCCTCACCCTGCTGCACTTCATGTCTTCTCTAAGTTAATGACATTTCTTTTCCTCTTGTACTCTTTGCCTGACTCATTTGCTCAGGCTGTAAGCACCTGAGGAGGGTGGCTGCCTGCTCCATGTCTGACCTGCACCTACCAGAGGTTCCTGTAATGCCCGTAAGGCAAAGCCTGCTTTGCTCCAGGTTTATATCCTTGATGTGTGTCTTCCAGAACAGGAGTCATAGAATCATGGAATAGTTTGGCTTGGATGGGATCTTTAAAGGTCATCTAGTCCAACCCCACCTTCATTTCGTTTAAAAAGCCCTGTAGTTCTGGTTTTACCTGGTCCACGCTATTTGCATTTTCTTGTTGTAAGTTCTATCCTAGTTATTATTTTAATACAATTCCAGAGCTGTGGCCTTTGGGTGCAGAAGGTTGTGTGTGGTCTTTGGGGACCTTGTTGCTAGGGGAGGTGGAGGCAAGTCCTGGCAGCAGACACCATGGGGGTGACACCAGGCATGTCAGCAGACCCTTCCCAGCTGGAGCCCAGGTCCTCATAAGACTTTCTTCTTGTGTTTTCCAGGTGTACAACTCGAACAAGGACAATCAGAGTGAAGGCAGTAAGTATTTCTTCACAAGCCTGATCCCTATGAGGTGACTGAGCTGTGTGGTGGGTTAGCAGGAGGTTCTGGTGACACTGGGCTGTGCTGGGCTCCCCTGGGCTAGGGGGTGACAAGAATTGTCATGGGCAGCACAGGGTAGCCCAAGGAAAGCTGTGTCTGGTACCCAGCAGGGACCAGGGGCAGAAACCTGATGGTGGGACCTGGGGCCACAGAGAGCAGTGTGAGGCAGTTCCCTCTGCCCCTCAGGGTGTGTCCCGTCCTGCCCCAACCGTGATGTCCCTAGGGTAGTGCAGGGGTGGCCTTGGAACCTGCTTCTGATGCTCAACAGAGAGTTCAGGTGGCACCAGCTTTCCTTTCTGAGCCAGAATGTATGGTATGAACATGCCTTTCCAGAGGGGAATTGGAGCACAGATACAGGAGTGAGGAGGTCCCATCTCATCAGGATTGTCAACAAGAGCCCTTAAAAATAAAAAAGCTGTTTTTATTGTAGTTCAGGTAATCAAAGCCTAGAGTCAAGAAAGCACTTGTTTTTCTTCCTAGAGGAGCAGTTGCACCTGGTCCTGCCTCTGACGTCCTGTATTTTAAAACCCTTAATTGAGCCATTTCCCAGTAGGTTTGATTTGCCATAATTGCAATACTCCAACCTCGATCCCTTCCCTCCTTCCCTCAAAACCACCGGCCATGCAGGAGCCCGGCCTGGGCTGACGGTCAGTCCATGGTTCATTTTTGTGCTGCCTCCAACGCACCATTTTCATCTTGAGCCGAAGCATTTTTCTCACAGTAATCGGTATAATTTGCAGCTAATGTTCCTCACACCCATTTCAGCCCTTGCACAAAGCATCCTCTTCCCCTCTCTCCTCTCTCTGCCGTGGTTTTTCCTTCCCTTTGATCCTCCCTGGCATCAGCTGCACATCCATCCTTTCCTGTATGTGTTCCTCCTGGCTCTGTGCATCCCAGGTGATCCTCACAGAGCTCAGTGCTGTGCCTCACACTCAGGAAGGGCAGCATGGCCAATGCCCTGTGGGGTAGGAACTCTACTAGAACAGCTCATCTTGTCTCAGTTTTCCAGAGGGGCAAAAGAAGATTTTGAGGTACAGAGACCAGGACTGGCTCAGCTCTGTCCTACCTGGCTGTGAGCTGTCACCGCTCTGTGTTCCCTGCACACAGCCCCTGACTCTGCCAGGATTGTACCTGGAGATTTGGCTCAAGAGACCATTTTGATGGTCTGTCTTAAAAATGAGAAGGATCTTCCCTGTCTGCTCCACAGACTGTCCTTCCTGGCTCTGGAAGAGGGTTGGAACCCTTGGCTGTGTACATAACAATGCTCCTGAACCCTCCAGTTGGGCTGGGCTGGTGTGGTCAAAGATCTGACTGCCTCAGCCCTCATTAAATCCATGTCTTGGAGCTCTGCTTGCCTCACCAGCCACTCTAAAATTGATTCAGGGACTGGCTTTCTGCCAGCAGCCCTTGATACAGGAGCTTCCTATAAGGACTTGAAATGAGTGTGTTGATTGAGTGGGTCCGGATGCAATTCCTGACCCTGGAAACCTCTATACCTCTGCTTCCTGCTCGTACTTATGGGAGTGTGAAAGCACCTCGCAGTGCTGTAGTGGCACTTTTTGGCCACTATCTAATTTTACAGAGCTTTTGGTTTTACACCCTGCTGAGTGGCCAGATGGCCATCGGCCCACAGGTGATTTATCTTAATCTGCTTTGGGAGGGGGAGGAAGCCGTGCCGAGGGGGTGAGTGGGTGTCACTGAACCACGCGAGCCGGGAGGATTTAGATGAACTAGTTTGCAAACCAGAAGGACTTGTCCTGCTCTGTGGAAACAAATCCTCCAGGACATTTGTGCTTATTGCATGGAAAAGCACAGAAGAACTCCTTTCGCTTCTCTCCCTATTTCCCTCTCCTTTTTCCGCATTCACTTGGTTCCCCATTAGTTGAGGACCCCATCAAAAGTTGTCTTTATTTTCACAAGCTCTTCATGTGCCTTGAAACCCTTGGCTGCCCTGTCTGCAGTGCCCTTATCTGTGTGGATCTGGCTACTCTCAGCAGGCACAGTCACGAAATCTCGGAATGGTTTGGTTTGGAAGGGACCTTTAAAGGTCATTTAGTCCAACCCCCTGCCATGGGCATTGGAATCTTCCACTACACCAGATTGTTCCAAGCCCAATCCAACCTGGCCTTGAACGCTTCCAGGGATGGGGCAGCCACAGCTTCTCTGGGCAACCTGTGCCAGGGCCTCACCACCCTTGTTGTAAAAAACTTCTTCCTTTTATCTAACCTAAATTAACCCTGAATCTTCCTTTTCCCAAACTTGGCAGCTCACTGATAGTTTGAGACTTGAAAACTCATTTCTGGTAAGACTTGAAAGCTCATTTCTCTCTGGTCTCTGCTTTTTGGTCTCTCCCCACCTCTGTGGCTCTTATTCCCTTGAAGTCTTTGAAACAATTCAAGTCAGTGATCACTGCATGGCACAAAAACGTGTGGTGGGGAGGCAGAGGAGCTGCTTTGACCTTGCACTGCTGCGACCGACACACAGCTGGAGCCAGCCAAGCTGCAAAGAGCTGATTCAGTCCTGCCCCCTTCCTGATGCTCTGATATGCCACATCAGCGTAAAGTAAAGGAATTAATGGATTAAATAGAAATAATCTGCTAGGCAAAAATAGAATGGGATGAGACCAACTCACTAGCACTAGAGATGTGATGCTACTTGAAGGTCAGATGAGTGTGGGGGTGTGTCTGGGCAGCAGCTGCAGTACAGGTGATGTGTATCACTCTTGCCGATGTAAAATGTTTCTCTGGTAGATTAATTACAGCCTGGGGAGTGCATCTCCTTGGCACTGGAATGCTGCTGCTGTAGGAAGAGCTCGGAGCTGGGTCTCGCATGCTTCCCTGGGGAAAGAGAGCCTCAAGGGAGCCTCTTTCGCTTGCCCTTGGACAGGCAGACAGGGACTGTTGGAAATTAGGGTTGTCCAGCCCTGGCACAGGCTGCCCTGGGCAGTGATGGAGTCCCCCATCCCTGGAGGGATTTAACAGATGTATGGATGTGGCCCTTGGGGACACGTGTTCGTGGTGGCCTTTTCAGTGCTGAGGGAACAGTTGGACTCTATGACCTTAGAGAGCTTTTCCAACTGAGACGATTCCATGATTCTGTGATCTGGACAGCAGTAGATCCAAATCTGCCTTTGATCTGGGCTGTTGCTGAACTGAATCATTGGGTAAATGACTGAGATAAAGAGCAGCTGCTCTGTGAGAGGGGAAATCAAGCTTTTACAATGCTCATTAAAAGTTAAATTTAAGGATGAATAAAGGCACTTTGGATATTTAATCAGATATTATTTCTGGATGTAACTACTGCAAATAAATCCCCGACCTTTCCTGATCCAGAGCTCGGCAGTGAGTGGAAGAGCTTATTCATCTGCTTAGAGGGATTATTCCAGGTCACTTCCATCCAGGGGGACTTCTGGGTTTCCTGCCCCTGCTATTGCTGCAGGGAGGTGGGATCCCAGCCCTGCTTGGCCATGAGGCAGTTGGCTCTGCAGGGTTATAGAATCATGGAATCAGAGAATGGTTTGGGTTGGAAGGGATCTTAAAGCTCATCTCATTCCACTCCCTGCCATGGGCAGGGACATCTTCCCCTAGACCAGGTTGCTCCAAGGCATGTCCAACTTGGCCTTGGGAGTTGTAGGTGTCTTTTGCTCAAGTCCAAACATGTGAGGGACAAAAGGAAAATTGTTGTTTTATGAAATGGGTTGACACTTGCATAAACCAGGCTCTTGCATAAACCAAACTCTCTCTTCAGAGAGCCTGAAACAGTGATCCGTGTTGGCTGGACAGCACCACGCAGGGACACCCAAAGGTCAGGGTCATATCAGTGCCAAGCCAAGGCTGATCAGACCTGCTAAACAAGGTTTGCTGGTACAAGAGAGTTTCCACACTGTGGTTTTGTGCTTCTCAGGTACCCTTGTACCTGAGTGATCTGGGGTATGGCAGCTGTGCCCTGCTGATGCAGAAGGCACATTGGTTTTATTCTGTATCTGTGTTTGGAGAGTGGTGCTGGGAGCCCTCCAGGTGCCCAGGAAAGGGCCCTGCAGTTTCTGGATATCCACATGTCCTATGGCACAGGCATCCTGCAACTCGTGTGCTTATGTTGGCTCGGTACTAAAGCCTGCTTGCCCAGAAAAACACAATAGAGCTGTTTTACTTTGCACTGTTTTGGGTCCTTGTGCCATTCATCAGACAAAGAACACCCCCAGCAGAGAACTCAAAACAAGGGATTAGGAAGGGACTGCTCCATGCAACTGTGAGCTGGCAGCTGGTCATGGAGCAGCAGTGGATCCATGTGTGAATAAACGATGTGAGCAGGGGGAATGCAAAGGAGGGAAGTTGCACGTGCCTTGCTGTGAGGGCAGTGCCAGCCCTGGGCTCTGATCCCTTTCTGCCCTGCTCTCCATAGAATGAGTTGTGTCTCTCACAACACGGCATTCCCTGGAGTCTGGAGCCCAGGGAAGCTTTGCACACCCTTCTCTGTGGGTCTCCTTCCTATGGAAGGTTTCCCAAACCTTTCTGTAGGAAGGAAGTAATTTTCCATAACAAATAGCTGTCTGTGAGCAGTGTTTTCCAGGCAGTGGTGGAAAGCTGTCTGTGGGATGAATTTTTTCCAGCAGGTGTTTGGATCTGTGTGCAGTTAATTCCTTGAAATTAAAAGTGAAAACCTGCATTGGCACGAGTGAGTTGAGTTGTACGTCCCATTAACTCCAATGTTTTAGCTCTCAGTCTCAGCCAGAGTCAGCTGCCTTTGGGACACCCTAATTTACTCAAATAAATATGTCATTTGTGCTAATAAAAGAATCTGAACTGTGCACATCTGTGCTGGGTGAGGCTGAGCAGGATGGTATGTGATGGCTCATGGGACTTTGGCCTCGCTGAGGGCAGGAGCAGCTGCCTGGGCTGTGCAGGAGGGATTAGGGTCAGTGCTGATGGGCACCCCAGGGGCAGTTTCCCTCCCACTGGGCATAGGAGATGCTTCAGACAGGGATTTGACCCAAAATTTGTTCCCATCTCCCAATTCCTAATGCTCTTCCATCATCACATGCTGTCAGCTCTCTCCTCTCCATGTGATGTTTTTACCTCCACGTTTTATAGAATCACAGAACTGTTTGGTTTGGATTGCTCTCCAGCACGTGTGGCTTGGTTGGCTGGGTGCAGAGCAGAAAGGATGTATAGGAATTCCATGGGACTCATCAAGAAAGCTGCCGTTTTTGGGGATTTGTTGTGTCAGTAATGTATTATTTCCTTTTTTCCAAGCAATCTGTTGTCAACTTTCCAGACAAGTTTGGGTTATCTCACCTTGATCCTAAAGTAATTTTTGACCATCCACAGAGGTAGATGCCTGGCAGAGCCCAGGGCTCTGCTTCTCAGTGGGTGTGGAGGGGCTGGTTCAGAGGGACATGGAGGCTGGAATGACAGTCAGTGTCTGTGCTTGCCTGGGTTACACCCGGTACAAGCTGCTGTACTCAGGCTTTTCTACCCTGAACACCTCATTTATCTACTTCTCCTCCTCCCTACCTCCTCTGGGCAGTGGTGCAGCACTGCTGGGGATGGCAGGGATTCAGGAGGAGCGTTGTGCTCTGTCTCTCTGCCAGGTGTTCATCACTTCTCTCTTCTCTTTCCCTGCAGCTGCCCAGCTGGACAGTATCGGCTTCAGCATCATCAAGAAGTGCATCCACGCTGTGGAAACAAGAGGTAGGGCAGCTTTGGGGCAGCCCTGCAGCTGTTGGTAGTGGAGCAGTTGCTTTCCTGCTCTTTTCATGGACAAAAGTGACTCATTAACCCTCAGACCCACATCAGATGAACCCAGTAACGTGCTTGGGCCGATGCTGTTGCCGAGACACGCGTTGGCCCTGTGGTTGGACTCAGCAAACATTGGGGCAGAGTTGGGCAGTAACACACTGGGTGTGCAAAAGAGGGGATGAGACCAAAGCCAGGGGTTCATTTGAGCATCCTTGCTGCAGGAATGCTGCAGAGCACGTGGGATAACAGAGGTGGGCACAGCACTGCTTCCCCAAAGCCCCTTGTGGAGACTCCATCCTGGCCCCACATGGGGGAGTGAAGAAATGCAAAAGGCACAGACCTCAACCTGAAGACTGTGGCACAGTAAAATTTTCCCAAACTGCCCTTGTTAAGTGCAGATCCTTCACGGAGCAAGCTGTAGCTCCCCTGATGGCCGTGGGGAGGAGGAAAGGCATTCTTAGATCCTTATTCCTGAGCTAATTGAGTGTAACACTTCTAATACATAAAAACCTTTATATCAACCCCAAATTTTACCCTCTTATATAATTTGGTATGTAGCTGGTGAGAAGGTTTCAGTGGCTTTGCTATTTGAGAAGCCAAAGAAATGAAAGAAATATTAGCAGCTCTTGTGACCTTCTCCTGATAAGCTCCTTATTTTTCCTAGGGATCAATGAGCAGGGTCTCTACCGGATTGTTGGAGTAAACTCCAGAGTTCAAAAGCTGCTCAGTATATTAATGGGTAAGTATCTGGTATTTTGTTAAAGGCAAGCTGACTGTGTGGCTTTGAAGTCTTGCCAGCTGGGAGCAGAGGCTCTTGGTGGAGTCCCTAATTGTGGTGAATGTGCCCTTAGGACCACGTGCTGGTAGAGGCTGGGAGGTCCCTGGGCACCGCTGGCAGGTCAGAAGGTAGGACTCGTGTAGGACGTTGCTCTATGAGGTCTCTGGTGCAGTCACTGGTGTCCTGCTCACATGCACTCTGAGTTCTGGCAGCCTTCCCAAATGCAAACCAAAATCTTCAAAGAAATAGCTGAAAGCTTTGGGTTTTCATCTCCTACCTGCCCCCTGTTCCCAGCACACTTTGAAATTATTTTCTCCTGCGTGTCGCATGCTGCCTGTGGCACTTCTTGCTTTCCCCATGGACCTTCTTGTGCCTGTTTATCACAGTCTTGCCCAGACCTTTCCAGCATGTGTTTCCCTCGTGCCTGAGGCATTGGACCTTGCAGTTTTGGATGCTTGGGAGAGAAAAGCTGTTGAATCACGCCATGACAGAGCTTGGTGTTGACATTGTGCAGCCCCCTGTGTCTGCCCAGCAGCCTCAGAGCCTCTCACCTCTGACATGATGTGATGGTCGGAGAGAGGATGTGTTTGCTCCCAGTGCCTTTGTGCTCTGAACCAGCATTCCTGTGGGCTGGATCTGAGCACTGGAATGTGTAGGAGCAAATAGGTCTTGTGTCTGAGAGCTGGTTGTTGTTCCTGGGGCAGGTCTGGGACGCCATGGCTGACTTTTCCTGGAGTGGTTCCTTTTTGGAAATATCGTGCTTCCATCACCCACCATGGTGCAGAGCCCTGTGTTGGGTCACACTTTTTGGGCTGCACTGAAGAAATCGTTATCCTAACTCCCAGTCCAGTTCCATGTCAGCTACAGCCTGGGGGTTATTCTTGACCCAAAGAGGAACTCAGCCCTCCCACTCTCTGCTCTGTTTACTGCCCCTCCAGAGCACCTTCCCTGCTCGCTGTGGTCCAGGCTGGTGCTGAGGTTGGCTCAGGCTATATGGGACAAAACCATTTCAGCCCCTGGCATCGCAGTCAGCATTTCCATCCCACAGCTGTAGCCCTAGGCAGTCTGTCAGTCTGTCCAGGCATGTCTTGGACACACGGTTGAAGAGAGAACACATCTGGGCTGGAGCAGGGCAGCTGCCTCTTGGCCAGTCCTGTCTGGTGCTGCTCAGACCTGGCGAAACCACCTATGAAATTGTTGTGGGAATGGGAAAACAAATGCTTAATAATTTGTTAGTGCCCGATTAAATGTGTTTTGTTACTCCTTGAGGGAAATAAGTGGCATTTCTGGTCTCTTTCGTCTTTCCCTTCACTTATTATCATTCCTTTGCTACAAGAATTCATTTTCCTTGCCCTCACAAAACTCCAGTGCTCCTTTCTCTACGCATTTCTCCTCACAGGAAGTTTTAATCTGTTGTGTTTCACTTTAAACATATTTTCCTTCTCCTTTTCCAATTCCCCCTTCTTTTCCCACCATTGAGGTGTTCACTGATCCAAGCCCCTGGTGGCTGTTACAGCTGTCAGCATCAACCTATGGAAAATTGATAATCCAGGGGTGATTGGAGCAGAAGGGCACGGCACTAAATCCAGGCTCAGGGGACCTCCGTGTGCCAGCTTTGCTCTGGCATTTGGAAAGTTTGCTGCAGTCACGAGAGCTGGTGACTGATGCTTTTATTAGAGAAGTTTGGCACAGGCTGTGGGACACATGAAGGTGCCCTGTGGCCCCCCAGGTCTGGCGGGGGAGCCAGCGCTCTCCCATGGCACACGTTGGGCACGGTTGCTTTGGAGCATCAGATGAAGAGCATTGCTCTGGGGTGGGTGCTCAGGGGGGCAGCAGGTCCACAACCAGGTCCTCTAGTGATGCTTGTCATGCTGCTGCACCTCATCCTGTGGGCTGGCAGAGCGATGGACCCTGAACTCTCCTCTAAGGGTGGTCTTGGTCTTGGTGAGTCCTGGGGCTGTGACAGATGGCAGAACTTGCTTGGGTGAAGCTCTCCAGAGCTGGGAGGGATTCAGTTTTGGATGCCATCCAGCATCCGTTATCTCCTCAGCGACTGAAGCCACTCAGCTGTCGACCTCGTGTCTCATAACACCGTGATATATTGCTGGTGGTTTTCCTTTGTCCTGGCGTGTCCTCGTTACTTGTTGATGCTGGAAGCCCTGTTACAGGCGAGTGGGGGCTGGAAGCAGGACACTCTTTGGGGATCCCCCATGCCATCCGTTGTTGGGATGCTTTGCAAACCCATGACTCCATGTCTTTCTCCAAATTGTGGGTGATTAAATCTTCCTCAGCCCCCGTGTTTGGGCTGTCTGTGAAGTCAGTGTCACACAGAAACATGCCTCTTGTCAAACCCCATCTGTTCTTGCTGCCCTCAGGGCTCTGATATCCTGCCGGCAGCGGCACCGCTCTGCTCGGACACTCCGGTTCGGATCCAGCCCTTGTGAACGGAGGAGCCAAATTGTACTTACAACATCAGGTTTCCCTTATATTTAGAAATGAATGTGGGCAGCATTACTGCTTCACATACAGTTTAAATGGCAAAAAGATCAAGTTTCCCTGAGCTGGTGTCAGTGACACTGCCGGGAAGGGCTTTGGCATGAGGTGTCCCTGCAGGAGGTCGGTGCAGGGATTGTGGAGCACCATCTCCCCATAGGCAGCAGCTGGATCAGGGACAGCCCCAGCCTGTGGGTTTCAGGCTGAGGCAGCACAGCTTGTCACGGTCTGAACCAGGGTGAAGCAGTGGGGAGGTGCTTCCAGGGACAGGTCATCTCCTCAGCCTTCACCGGCACCAGGTGCCATCAAAAGGAGGACAAAACCCAACAGATAACCAAACTTTTATCAGTGGGAGCTCTTGTGAAAGGATTTATTGTGGTAGTGTGTCAGAGGACAGTGGGGGCACCAGCAGGTCTGAACTCAGCACTGGGATGAGTTACAGCATCCGATCTGCTCTTGCTCCTTGCCCATATGGGCCATAAGGGCTGGGAACAGGCTCCTTCAGGCCCCTCAGTGCTGGGATGGAATGTCCCTGTGGTGGTTTTGGAAGTCTCTTGGTGAGAATTACAACTGGGTGATGAGGTGGTGCCCCAGGTGGTTCCTCTTGCCCTGGAGAAATTTGTTAGAGACATCAGATCAGTGACTGGCAGCAAAAAGCAGCTCCAGGGTTAATGCTGACTTTGGGCTATGGGTGCCTTTCCAGCCTCTACCCCACACTGACCCCAGTTCTGTGGAAGTGTGTCCTTGTGGGAGGCAGAGCTGCGGCTCTGGCTGCGGCATCGCTGCCTGAGGAGACAGATGCTGCAGCTGGAGCCCACGGCGCTCACTTTTTGCAGACTCATAAATTTGAAGGTCAAGGGGAACTGATTAGCTGCTCTGAGCCTTTTCATGGGACCGACTGTGGAATTTCACCTCGCGTTCCATGATCCTGCCTAGAAGCTGCTGGATGAGGTTTTGCAAAGACGCACAGTCTGGACTTGTCTATTCTCCTTCAGTTAAAAAGTTTCTTTTAAAAAAAGGTGGAACTTTTTTGATGGGTTTTGTTTGTTTGTTTTTTACTATGCTAAGCTTATTTTGACTCTATTAAAATTTCCTTCTTATAAAGGCAGTGCAGTAGGAAGTTTCCTCAGCATTGACATGGGAGGATGGAGTTCATTTGTGTGATTGCTGAGACACACATGATCTTTGTGTGAATATACATTTCTCACATGTTTACTTTTCCAGGTGCACCTCTTGATGTTTTTGGGTTTTTTTAAAATTAAAATAAACCCATTGCTCCAAGGGAAAGCCACACTCTAATCAGGGCATTCTTTTAAGTAGGTTGAAAATTACCCAACGCTTACCTGGGGCTTTAAAATTCAAAAGTGCATTATTTGTGTCTGTGAAAAGGCAGAAATACCCCCTGAGCTGAGCCTGTAGGAGCAGATGGTGCGAGCAGCTGTGGCTGTGTCAGCCTTGGCCTTGGGCATGGTGGGAGCCCCCGCGCCTGCGCTGCTCCCCAGGGACGCTTGGCACTGATGGGATCCCGGGATCCCCGCAGAGGCTTCCCTGGGATTTCGGTGGGAGCAGGATCCTGGCTGCGTTTCCAGCACTGAGTTAGCAAAGAGTGTTTGGGGAGGAGCATCCACATAGGGGAGATGGGGCACAGGGGGCACATCCATGCCCTGCCTCTCCCTGGCTGTGGCCGGCGTGGTGCTCCTCACCCTGGCACGGAGCCATTGCCGTGTTGGGACTCAGTGCTGTGCCTGAGGTATCCATGGCCAGGCCACTTCCTGCTGGCCTGATGGTGGCTGTTTAGGAGATGGGCTGTAATTGCCTCTGCAAGGAGGTGGATGCAGGATGATGTCCCTGTGCCCTGGGTCCATGTCCTGTCTGTGCCCGGCTGTCACCGCTGTCACTGAGCACCACAGGCTGCTGTGCCTTCTGTCCTGTCGCCCTCAGAGCCAAACTGCCCATGTCCTTGCTTGGGATGGATGATTCCCTTTCCTTTCTCTTGTCCCACCCCAGTGAATGTTGTCCATCCCGGATGATGAACCCCATTCCCCTGCTGACATGTCTGTGGGGGTCGGCTGTGAACCCTGGGCTGGGAATAGCAAATAAAATGGGATGTGACAGTCTCTCCACACAGCTGAGCTGGCACAAAATGGAATTGTCTTCACTTTGCTTCTCTTTTGTCTTTTTTGTCTTCTTCCTTAGATCCCAAAACAGCCACAGAGACAGACACAGAGATCTGTGCAGAGTGGGAGATCAAGACCATTACTAGTGCACTGAAAACATACCTGAGGTAAGGAGAAAACCCTCACCTGGCTTCAGGAGGGGTTCAGTGATGGTCTGGGACATTACTGCCCATTATTGCAAACCTTTAGCGACAGCACTATGATAGAAACAGAGCAGAAACTGCTCTTAGGTGATTTATTCTGGCTTTTTGCTGACCTTCCAGCGTGTGTGAGTATAATCTGGGGAACACACTCATCTCTGACAGACGCACGTATCATACAAACATGATTTTAAAAGTTCATTCTTGCATTTCCTGCCTTAATTTAAGCTTTTCCCTGAGCTTTTCCCAATGGACTTCCACCTTCTGAGCTCGTGGCAGGAGGTGGGGTCAGTGCTGTGTAAAGGGCAGCAGCTGTAGAGCTTTTCCAGACGCGGTGCTGAGCTTTATTGTAGTTATAATTTCTGTGTGTAAGTCGATGCCTTTATCGTCCTGGGTATCTTCCCACCGGGCTCGGGTGTTGGCAGCCGGCAGCATCTCATTATCCACAACATGCTTCTACCTGCTGTGACCGCAGCTTCTTGCTCTCTGTGGCTGCTGTGTGTGCTGGGTTGTGTTTGACAGAGTGAGGGAGCACAAGAGAGAGGCTAAATCCAATTAGGGTGATGACTGTAATTAGCATGGTGGAGCTCAGCTGAGAACACTACAGAATTCTGCGTGATTGGCAACCTTTGCTCCAGAGTTTGAACTGTTGGAAAAGCAAAGAGGAATGTGGGCAGCACCAGTGTGACCCTCTGAAGGGATGCAGCAGTGGGAGGGGGCAAGGGGAATTGAATGGGAATGGAGGTAGTGAAAGTTTTACACCTAGGCTTGTTTATCTTTTTAATTTATTTTTAAACTTACTTGGAAGTCACGGGCTCAGTAATGCAGTGAAACTCCATATTACTGAAGGAATGCTAAAATTATAGATTAATTTAGTGATGAATAAATCAAAGGTACTTGCATAGATCTTATTCCTTCTGATGAGGGGAATTAATTAGAGTTGCTGCTGCTTAATTCTGCACTTTTCAAAATGGAGCTGAATTTCTGGTAGAGGCAAAGCTTTCTGTGTGTGGATTGTGTTCCCCAGATGTGTTTTGTGCCTGTTTCCTTTTTATCTTCCAGAATGCTCCCAGGGCCCCTCATGATGTACCAGTTTCAAAGGAGCTTCATCAAAGCAGCGAGTGAGTTTGTTGATGTTTATGGCCCTGCTCCCAAAGTGGAGCCTCATTTGCAAGTTACTGAGATTCCCTCTGCCCTGCTGCCTCCCCACCGACCTCCCGGGCTCCCGTCCCAGAAAGCAGCATAAGAATGGAGAGCCACGGGGCAGGTTGTTGTTTGGGAGGTGACCAGATGAAGAGGAAGCACAGATGGTGCTGGGAGCGCGGAGCTGGCGGCGGCTCCCGCTTGTTGTGACCATCAGCTGCCAAGGCGGGGGAGGCTGTTGTTCAAACAACGCCCACGGGTGTTTGATGGGACCAGTGGTGGTTCAGATGTCTGTGCTGTGTTCCTGTCACTTTCCTGGGAAAAGGGGCTTTGCTGGGAGCAGGTAACTCTCTGTTGGCAGCTATGGAAGGAGCCAGGGCCATGAGGGGCTCACGTGGTCCGTGGCCACAGCGGTGGTGGCCTCTGCCACCAGCTCTCATTTAGTACCTGTGAATCCAAATGGATGCTCCAGCCTGACCTTTGCTGGGCACACTGAACATACAGAAAGGGAACCTGACAATATTCCCATTGCTGGAGTCACTCTGGTTACAGCCAGCTCTGCCCTGCCCTGCTCACCACTGGCTGTTCACGTGGCATCTGCTCTTGGCTCACAGTTTCAGCCCATTAAGTGTCTTCCTTTGGAAACAACTGCTTGGAGCTGGTAGGATGGAGCAGTGCCATGGAGAGTATCTACACCATGCCTGGGTGTGAGCAGGTCCTCGGGATGTCATTGGGGTTAGTGTTAATGAGTCTTCCCATAACAAGCCCCTTGATGCAGAGATAAATCATCTGTTTCCCATGCAGAACTGGAGAATCAGGAATCCAGAGTGTCAGAGATCCACAACCTCGTTCATCGACTGCCAGAGAAAAACAGGCAGATGCTGCAGTTGCTCATGAACCACTTGGCAAAGTACGTTTATGACTGATGTGTTTTTCTCTCCTTTTTCCACTTCCTCTGAAAGTTAGTAGTGGTGGAAAAGTTTCCTTGTGTGTGTGTGTGTGGTGTTGAGTCATATCTGGTTGGCAAGAAACTGGAAACCCATGTGTGAGTGAACCAAGGGCTGAGCGACAGAGTGGGGTGGGAGGGAGGAATGAGGAGGGGAGGGATGAGGGAGGCAAGGATGAGGGAAGGGGGCTTCCCGACCAGCCCCCGGCCCTGTGTCGGCACCAGGAACCCGTAAGCTACTGGGAATCTCGTGTTGCTTTTTATGGCCTGGAGTGGGGTTTGGCTGCCCAGGAGGCAGAGCGGACGTGCAGCTCCTCACAGGGTTTCCGATCAAACCTGGCATTGAAGGACTAAAAGTGATTTCTTTGCCCAACAGACAACTACTCTGGGGCGTATTTTCTACCTTTATGCACCCCCATGAATCAGTATTTCTGGGTCACCTTGAAACTTTGCGAGGGCAAAGGAATGGAATAATTTTTTTCTTTCAGCGATAGAGCTGACCTGTAATTTCCCATCTTCTTCCTGCTCCTGCAGGTTCCCATGGAAACCTTTGATTAGTGTTTTAAAAGTGAAAGCATCATCAGATGTTTGTGGCAGCCTCAAGGCTGCGGGGTCGGACCTGCTCTTGCAGTTTGCACTGGTGCTGCAAGAGCAGCAGGGATGAGGCAGGACTGGGAAACCTGGGGATTGAGTTAATCGGGATGACTGCTTAGGAGAAGGTCTGGGAGAACCCAAGTTATCTGTTTAAGGGAAAAAATAACAAATGGTGCTTGAAATAGGCTTAAAACCAACTCCAGATGCTTTCTTGTGACATGGGTTTGTGTCTCCATGGACTCCCTGGCAAGGCTGTTAAAAACCAAAGAGCTGGTTTAGGTGTTGGTTTCAAACCTTCCGTATTTACAGCCTGAAGCCAGAGCCAGGCTCTTTTGGGTGCTCCCCTTGGCCAGATGAGATTGCCCAGAAAAGTTTTGGCTGCCCCATCCCTGGAAGAGAGGTGGAATGAGATGAGATTTAAGGTCCCTTCCAACCCAAACCATTTGGGGATTCTGTGTGTGCGAGGAATGCAAAACTGTTTAAGTGTTTTCCATTTAAAGGAAACCCTGGTGATGGAGTGAGACACGGAGGGGGAGGCAGGTGTACAGTGGGGTTTGTGCTGTTTTGGTGGGGAAGGAACTGAAACAAAACAAACAGCGAGTGTGGTGGTGTTGCTATTTTAGGAAGAGAAACAGATCATACTGTTATTTAATAGGAAAAAAATTATCTCAGAGAAAGGCAGGAAGCTGAGGAGCGAGAGCCTGCTCTGCTGAGCTCTCCCAGCCCTGGTGCCACTTCTGGGGGATCCTGGGCTGCGGAGGGAGAGGCACAGCCAGCCCCAGGCATGGACTCACAGCATCCCTTTGGTGTTAGTCCTGCAGCCCCTGCTCCAGGAGCATCACCCTGATCTGGGAACAGCACCCTGCTCAAGGGGTACCTTGCGGGGCAGCTGGGGACAGGGCTTGTTGCCACAACTCTTCTAAATGAGCTGTTTGAGGCTGCAGTGCCATAAAACCATATTAAAGGCATGAGTGGAGATAAATCTGCACATCTGCAACAGATGTTTGGAGGGAGGGACTGTGTTGCAGAAGGGATGGGGCCTGGCTGTCCCACGGGGTGCTCTGAGGGGTGGGACCAGCCGGGGTCTGGGTGCTGCTGAGAGCAGGGCACCCATAGCCAACATGGGCAAAGCTAAGGCCTGCTGCCTGGCCCTGCCAAACTGGGCCACGCTGCTTGGAGGGGATTGTCTCATCTGTTTCTGTTTGGGTTTTTTATTTTAAGTAACATATGAATAATCAAGATTTGCGTGTTTATCAGATGAGCTAAAAAAATATTTCTCACAGTCTTGCTGCTGAGAATTCTGACACTAAAAACAGAACTTGGGCTGTGTCAGTTGAATAGAAAAAGAGCCTGTCCTCGCTGGTTTATGGCTTCTGGGTTTTTGGGGTGTACGTGCACCGGTGCACTGCTGCTCTGACGAGGGACGTGGGGCTCCTCATGTGATGGGGCTGCAGTTATTAACAGTAATAAAACTGTGCTAAGAAAGCAGATACATTGAGAAATGGCAATTATTAACACCAATATCAGACAGGGTAAGTGCCTCTGAGGTAATTCAGCAGTGCCCTTCCTCCTGCACAGCAGAGGAATGCAGTGGGTTCCCTGTGGCAGCTGGGTGCCCCCCAAAATCGAAGTACAGTGAGAGGGACTAGCAGAGGAAGGAGAGGACAGATCTCAGGAACAGGCCCAGATGGGATGGAGAGAAAAGTGCATATCAGTAGAAAGTGAACATGATTTCTGCCTCTTACTGCATTTCCAAGACTGTTCAGACTATCTTATGTCTGTGTGTCCAGGCAGTTATCCATTAAGACACACAGAGCAGGAGTGATTCCTGTCCATGCTCCTTCATCCAGAGTGTAATGCTGCAATTCCCTCCCCTGCTCTGCAGACCCTGGTTCCAGTGAAACTTGCTATAACAGTTTTATTCCTTGACCAGTGAGTAGGTAAACCCTTTAATTTTTTTTGCTGGGACATGTTCACACTCTCAGAATCCCTGTAATAAACCCAGCTGTGATTTGCTGTTCCTGAGAGCAAGAAGATCTCTTTGTTCTGGTGCTTTTCTGAGGAGATGTCATTAGGAAAACCTAAGCACCCACAGCCTGGACCATCCCCTGAGCCTGTTCCTGCATCCTGGTGACAGTCAGTGAGACTGGATTGACACTGGCACAGGTTTCCCAGAGGTGGATGGGGCTTAGAGCAACCTGGTCTAGTGGAAGGTGTCCCTGCCCATGGCAGGGTGTGGAATGAGATGAGATCTAAGGTCCCTTCCAACCCAAACCATTCAGGTGTTCTATGGTCAAACCAATTTTTTTTTCTGTCCAGTAAGTCAAAGCTAAGTGAGGCTCCCACAGTGCTGCTGGGCTGGCAGAGGCACTGCCAGAGTTGAGCTGGTTGCAGAAAATTGCCGTTTTCATTTGTGGAGCTGCAATATCATCCCTATCTCTTTCTTCTTTTTTTAATGTACATTCTCACCCAGGAGTCAGTGCTGTGGAGGTGCAGAGCAGGAGGATTTCACTCTGATTATGTTTCAAGCATTTCAGGAATTAGTTTTTGTGCACGGCCATAATTTGACACCTGAGCTTTGCTTTGTTCTCGTGACAGTGAGTCCAGTTCTCCAACACAGGTGGTGGTGAGCTCGTGCATCCTCTGCAGGGCTCCCAGACCCTCCTGTGGGTTGGCATTGCCCCAGCATCGCTGCCGCTGCCCCAGGTGTCCCCTGACCCGTGCACCCACTCCTCTCCTGGCCAAGGTCAGGACATGGAGGAGGCTGCAGCTGAGCTGTGTGTACGTGTATTTAGCAGAATTAATTATCTCTAATCTCTCCCAGCTGCAACCTGGCCAACACCGACTGGTTCCTTTTGGTTTTGCTCCAGTGGTGTTTTCTAGTTTACGTTTTTTAACCAAGAAGACAGTGATTGTTATCTCTAGCACAAATTGTTTGTTGCTGATTAGCACGATGGTTTCCATGGGCTCTGCAGGGCAGCTGCAGTCGGGGATCCAGCAAAACCCATGTTGGTGCAACAGGGCAGGGGCCGGACATGGTGTGTGGTGTGTTCCGGAGGGCTCACTGCTGTGTACGAGGGACTGTTGGCAAAGGAGAAGAAGAAAAAAATTCCTCCAGGTCTTCTGCCTAAAAATACAACCAGTGCTTGTTTTCCTCGGCGTGGAGCAGCCCCGGCCTTGGCAGCCCCGTGCCACGCTCCCAGCCGTGCTGCCCTGCAGAGCCCCCTGGGAACCGGCCCCCGGTGCTCACCATGGTGGGCTCTGTGCCCACGACTTCAGGAACCCACCAAGATGCCTGTGTGAGACCAGGGGTGGCAGAAATGTGCTTCTCCTTGGGTTGTTTTCCTGGTTTTCCCCGAAGGTGCAGCCTGCGAGGAGGCTGACGCCTCTTGGCACAGCAGGTCTGATTTCATCCCCGTGGCAGCTGTTTATGCTGCTGTCTGGTAACTATTCATTTGCTTGATTTATGTATTGCTTCCAGTAAGTCATTCTTGTCCCGGACATTCTGGAAATTTCCACTAGCCACTGAGGCCTCTGAGATGCTCCGCTCTCATATGCTCCTCACCTGATTTGGCTGCCAAAAGCGAACAGGGAGCATTCTCTGAGCCGGTGCGGCCGGGCCAGGCAGTGATCCTCGTTGCTGCCTTTGGGAATGCCATGTTTTTGCCCAGTGTCTGTTTTTATTCCTTTTGGATCACAGCACTGCTGACCCCTGGACAAAGCCCTGGGAGTTCGAGTGACCCAAAGGATCTGGGTGCTCCCATAGGTAGCAAAAGGCAGGTCATATGGAAGGTGACTCCCTGTAGGCATGTGCTGCCTTTCTGGAGATGGGAGAATCCTGTCTGGGGCTTGGCTGTCCTGGTTCAGGCTCGTGTCAGGCTCCTGACGTGCTTTCTTTGCCCCTTTTTCCCTAGTTGGAAATAGGTGGACTTTAAGGTCCCTTCCAACCCAACCCATTCTGTGTTTCCACGATTGTATGATTTGTGCTTTGGAGCCAGAGGTGTCAGAGCCTTGCAGAGCACAGCAACACCTTTGGTTTCCCCTTTGCTCTCCTCTCCCTTATCTGTTTTGGTGGAGCTGGTGATGCTTCCACAGAGTTCAGACAGCACAGTGTGCCCTGCAGCACTCTGTACCTGCCTTCCCCTTGCCTGCTCTGCCTCCCTTTTACTCCTCTGGTTTTGTTTTTGAGATTCTGCAGAATTAAAAAGAAAAACCACCACAAAAAACCCTGTAGGTGTTCACTGGGTTTTTTGGGCTTGGCTTCCTGTAATGTGTAAATTAGCAAAAGATTTTGTTCTGCTTCTGCAAATGAACTTTTAACCCCCTCAGCCTGGATTGTCCATGGAGCAGCTGTGTGTGTGCCGGTAGCT